TGAGATGGAGCCTCACTCTGTTTCCCAGGCTGGAGTGCAGTGGTGTGATCTCAGCTCACTGCAACCTCTGTTTCCCAGGTTCAAGCGATTCTCCTGCTTCAGTCTCCCAGGTAGCTGGGATTATAGGCGCCTGCAACCATGTCTGGCTAATTTTTTGTATTTTTAGTAGAGATGGGGTTTCACCGTGTTAGCCAGGATGGTCTCAATCCCTTGACCTCATGATCCACCCACCTTGGCCTCCCAACATGCTGGGATTACAGGTGTGAGCAGCTATGCCCAGCCATATTGCTATTGTTAAAAATCTAGGCCATTTGAAATATTTGAAAATTAAGATACATTTCAGAATATACTGTTATTAATGTAGTTAATATTTACTGATACTGTGTACCAAATAATGTTCTAAGTCCTTGACACAACAATGGTGTAAAGTAGGTATTTATTAATACTACCTAATTCAATTTTATAGTTGAAGAAATGGAGGTTATCTAATTGACCCACAGTTACACAGTAATAAATACTAAAGTTTGACATCTGAAGGAAAACAGTTCTCATCTACTATGCTGTACTATCTGTTATAGTGAGAAACCACCCCCCACCCCAAGGCAGTATTTTTAGAAGGGAAAAAAAAAACAAAATCCCAACAAAATGTGGTGGGTTAAATAAATTATGATAGATCCATACTACAGAATACTATGGAGCTATAGAAACACTTTAGGTTTTTTTTTTTTTTTAATAAAGCAGGCTTCATGAAGTGACATGGCAAATCTCATAGACTGATCATTCACTAAACAGATTGTCAAAAACACTCAGTATAGTATAAACCTAATGCGATTTTTAAAATGTGGTTAAATATGTATGTATGTATGTACGTACATACATATATATACATGTATCTATTCCAGATGAATACAAAGACCAGGACTGACACTGTTGTTAACAGAGAAAATGAGAATGGAAGTAAAAGATCATGAAAAGACTTTCATATTTTACTCCATATTCTTAGGTACTGTTTGAATACTAACAGTATTCATTATTAGTGTATTACTAGTACAGTATAAAAACAATTATTTTTCTCTATTTGCTTAAGTCAGAGGCTGGCTAATACTTTAAATAAAATTCCTATTTACAGCATATCTTTTGGTAAGTGGGTCTGGGCAGGTGCTGAGGACATCTCTAGGAAGCTATTAAGATTTATCTGAGCAAAATTACACAACAGAAGTAATGAGACCCAGGAGCCTCCCTCTATCCTCAGTGTGACTTTTAACATCTGTGCTCTCTATACCAGTTACCTCCATATTCCTCTTGGCTACGTAGAGCTCCTCTACCCCACCGCTGCCTGTTCTTTTTGTCAGGAGGCCCTACTTACTGTCCTTCCTTCACTCATATGACACTCCTACTTCTGAGCCTTTATCACTACATATTAAAAAGTCTGACAAATAAATTCATATGAATGTAGAACCTAGAATGTTTAATATGTTATCTTTTTCTGAAATGTCTGCATTTTTAAAATGACAGGTTGCACAGATCAATACCTCAGCCCCGAAATATGGAGTACTAATTGTGGTGTATGAGACAACATTCCAAGGGGAGGAAGACTTTTTGAGCAAGGAGTAGGAGGCGGTTGTGATTCCTGACATCCTGCAATCTCTTTTGGGCAAGGCATATTATACTTGTCCATAAAGATAAATCCCAGCCCCTGTAGTCTCCTCACCACACTGCCCAACTTAGGCCTGGCCTATAACAGAATGCAGGAAAAGAGACCCCTTAAAAATGAGCTCCTGCCCAGGAGCATAGTGCTTGTATTCTTTTGGTTTTTATATAATATTCCTTGGGTGGATTCATACCAGTAAAGCTTCTGCACATTCTCTGAGCTGGCAAGTGCCTCTAGTATTTTGTTCTTCTCTGCTTCAGAGTCTATAGAATTGTACTTTTTCAAAAGGAATGACCAGCCTTTCTCAGTTTTTGCTCCAACCTTGAACACAGTTGTCATGACATCAGTAGGTAGGCTGTAAGAGAGGAGGTCAAACATGAGGATAACAAGAAAATATTCTGAATACAAAGGCAAAGAGTTGGCTGTGGTGGAGTTTCTGGTATAAGGGTCAGTAATAGCTACAAGTTTGGGTACACAATTTAGGGTCAAGGAAAAATTTAATTCAGTGACTGCTACTTTCCTAGCAGAGCAACTAAGGATATATCAGTTCAATTTAATATTCACTGAGCATTCACATAGAACCAGGCAGGCAACTGGCTGGACACTAGGGAGCAGAAGAGACATGAGAGCCTCTATCCTCTGAGAACTCACAGGTTATTATGAAGCAGAGAGCAATATATATGCACATTAAAATTCAGTGTGATAAGTTTCATGGTAGAAATAGAGCAGTAAATGGGGTTCAGGGAAGAACACAGTGTACTCCCTTTATTAAGATCTCAGAGCTGGGAAAGACCTCAAAAGTTTATCCAAATCCCCCACCCAAACTCTTCATCTGATGCTTGAATCTTCTCTCCATAATGTCCAGTAAGGAGGTGGAAAGAACCAATTACCACCAAAAGCATTTCCATTAACTGCTAACTTTACCTGCTATGTTTTATTTCTAAATTAAGAGACTTGTTTATCACCTCACACCAATTAGGGTGGCTGCTATCAAAAACCCAGACAATGGCAAGTGTTGGCAAGGATGTAGAGAAACTGCAATGCATGTGCACTGTTGTTGGGAATATAAAATGGTGCAGCTGCTGTAGAAAACAATATGGCAGTTCCTCAAAAAAAATTGCCATATGATCCAGCAATACTACTTCTGGGTATACATCCAAAAGAATTGAAAGCAGGGTCTCTAGGAGGCACTTGCACACCAGTATTCATGGAATTATATTCACAATAGCCAAAAGGTAGAAGCAACACAAAGGTCTATCCATGAATGAATGGATAAACAAAATGTGGTACACACATACGATAAAAAATTATTCAGCCCTTAAAAAGAAAGAAATTTCGGCCACGTGCAGTGGCTGATGCCTGTAATCCCAGCGCTTTGGGAGGCTGAGGCATCTGGATTGTCTGAGGTCAGGAGTTCAAGACCAGCCTAGCTAACATGGTGAAGCCCCATCTCTACTAAAAATACAAAAATTAGCTGGGCATGGTGGCAGGCACCCATAATCCCAGCTACTCCAGAGGCTGAGGCAGGAGAATCGCTAGAATGTGGGAGGTGGAGGTTGCAGCAAACCAAGATGGCACCATTGCACTCCAGCCTGGGTGACAGAATAAGACGCTGTCTCCAAAAAAAAAAAAAAAGAAAGAAAGAAATTTTAATGCGTGCTACAACATGGAAGAAACTTGTAGACATTATGGTAAGTGAAATAAGCCATTCACAAAAAGGCAAATTCTATATGACTTGACTTATGTGAGATATACAGTGTAGTCAAACTCACAGAAACAGAAAGTAGAATAGTGGTTGGCAGGGGTTGGTGGGGAAAAGGAGTGAGGAATCATTCAATGGTATAGTTTCAGTTTTGCAAGATGTGTAAGTTCTGAAGATAAGTGCAAAATAATGTGAATATATGCAACACTACTGAACTGTACAGTAAAAATGGTTAGGATAGTAAATTTTGTTATGTGTATTTTACCACAATTTTTTTAAAAGTCTGATTTGAGAATATAGATACAGAGTTCACCCACGCTAACACTCAATTTTGTAACATTTATGACCCAGGATGGGATTACCCTGGTTTCTGTATATGACGTGAGGTAAAGAAAAAGAAGATAATTCATCTGACTAGAAGTATACTTCACCTTTGAGTTCCATTGGATGCCATCCAGTCATCAAACAGTTTCATGGCAGCAGTGCAGCAGTTCTCCTGTTTGTAGGTGCAAGCAAACTCTAGCAGGACTGACCGAAGCTCTCGCATAGATGGAGTGCCCTCATCAGTCCAAGTTTGTTGTTTAATTTGGTTTTGAAGTAATTTAAATACTCTGGCCTAGAGAGGCAAAATAGATTGTAACGGCTTAATAATAATGAGGACAATCAGAAAAAATCAAGACAATTACAGCCAAGTGCAGTGGCTCATGCCTGTAATCCCAGCACTTTGGGAGGCCAAAGTGGGCAGATCACCCGAGGTCAGGAGTTCGAGATCAGCCTGGCCAACATGGTGAAACCCTGTCTCTACAAAAAGACAAAAATTAGCTGGGCATGATGGCAGCTGGCTGTAATCCCAGCTACTAGGGAGGCTGAGGTGGGAGAATCACTTGAACCTGGGAAGTGGAGGTTGCAGTGAGCTAAGATCACGTAACTGTATTCCAGCCTGGGCAACAGAGCAAGACTCTGTCTCAAAAAAAAGAAAAATAAGAAAAGAAAAGAAAAGAAAAAAATCAAGACAATTAGATCTCTTTTCCCCAACATTTACCCAATGAGGAATAAAAAAAAAAAAGCATAGATATTACTCATTAAGTATTAACTGGCATATGAAGCCCATATACAGCTGGGATGAAACCATTCAATAACAAAGGTTATGCATAAGGCTGCTAAGGGGGACTTTTACTGATGTTAACTCAGAAAAAAATTAATGACTTCTGTGCAGTAGGAAACCTTTATGCTGCATATACTCAGCTAGAAGTTATTTTCATGCCAAAAAGTATCATTTATACCCACTGCTGGAAGGAAGTCAGAACTTCCTGACCTTGTCACTTTAGAATCTACAAACCCATAAAGCAATGAAAGAAATTTTAAATATGCTTTACTGATGTTTAAATGTTTCTGAATCCAATATTAAAAGTATATTTAACACTATCAACTAGTTTGATTTTATAACAAATTAACCAAATTAGCAAGAACCTGAGGTCTGCAGGAAAGAATAGTTGTTTATAGTTTAGTTTTTCCCCCAGGTTTTTATTTAAAAACCTTTCAAAACTACAAAAAAAGATAGTACAATGAATACCCATACACAGTTAATCTAGATGCACCAGTTTTTAACATTCTTACATTTGCTTTGTTTCCAAGTTTGTGTAACACACATATACACACACATTTGTTTTTTTCTTGTTTTAGCTGAACGATATGAAAGTGAGATATAGATATCATATTTCATTTATAAATACTTTGGCATGCAACTCACAGATATCAGAACATTCTCTTACAGAACCATAATACCTTATCACACTTAAGACAACTAATAGTTATTCATTAATATCATCTACTATCTCGTCTATTGGTATGGGATGTCATTGCTAAATGTATACTTGCAGTATTAAGGTACTAACAAACAATTTTTCTCCACTTAAAAACACCAAAGCTGTTAATGGTATGTGAAAGTATTTCCATACTGCAAGTTGTGCAAGGGGAGGGGTGAGGAAACATGAGATTTAAAAAGCATCATATGAAATATACTTTTATGAATGCCACTAGAAGGAACAAACATTCTGATATAAAAAATGTTTTTAGGTATTCTTTAGAAAACCTTCATGGCTATATAAGGAAAATTAAAATGAAAAAATTTCAACAGATGACCCCTCTGCAGGAATCAGCACGGGTGTATTTCTTCCCGCTGATACTTCTTTACCTCCACCACCATTGTCACATCTCGTCTCAAGCAATCATGTACCACAGATGACCACATACAAAAACACTTAACTTCAGAAGTTTAGCTCAAGTTCTTCACAGATCATTGCTTTCTTCCTTTCTTTTAGGTATTGACAGTGAGTACCACTGAATACCACTGCCAATACCTAAAATGAATCAAATTTGAAAACTTTTAAACTATTGAGGCCATTTTCCTAGCAATGACTTACTCTGAATAAGCTTCTTGTGGAGTTGAATTTGAGAATGAAAAAAAAGAATCTGCAAGGAAAAAGACTCAAGGTTTGTAACAACATGTGAACTCACTTGTGTTTGTTAACAAAAGCAATAAAACACAGAACAGACACCTTGTGGAATGCATAAGTGGTAAAGCTTTAGAGTCATCAGGAGAACATGAAGTGGAAAAATATTTGCTATGCTGACTGACAATGCAAGCAACAGACAAGCAATGGAGACAATCCCACTGGACACACCTGACTTCATTACTATACAGTGTCTTCATTGGCCTTACCTTCTCAATAACATTATAATAGAAACCATCCCAAATTACTGGAGAAAAAAGAAATTTAGAACCTACTTATGACTGTCAAATAGAAACAAATGAAGAATGTAAGAAAAAAATCACATGCTTGAAATCCTATGTTTTAAGACTCAGTGAAGAACAATGGCAATACGCATTGAGAGTTTACTAAAACACAAAGGCAGCTATGGAAAAAATGGCACTTAAAGTCCTGGAAGCAAATGAAATCTGACACTTGAAGATGGCTATGGCTAATTCCTGAGCAGTTACACCACTGAATTACAGTGAGCAATTTTACTAGTCTCTGTACTAAATCATTAAGATGAGTTCTCAAAATAGTTGTTTAAATATATCTCAAATTATAGCATAAAACATTTTATTTTTAAAAAATAATTATATTTTTAGAAAAATCCTGCTGTTATATCATTTTTATAAGTAATCCGGGTTTATTTTTAATATTAATGAAGCATAGCATGTGCTTCAAGTTACCTTTCCCTTTTAGAAATAAAATGAAATGTTTTTCTATGACTCCGAATTAATTTTTTTTTGATTTAAGCTCATTCAACAATAGAATCCAACCGTATGATTTTACAAAGTGAAATGGCAAGTGGAGAGAGAAAATAAATTGATGGGTTACACAAGCTACAAACACTGGATTTGTAATAAAATGTAACAACAACAATAATATAAAATTATTTTAAAAATGAAGCAGACAGGGAAAGATGGTAGCCCTTATGCTGTATATTATATTTTGATTTACTGCTTTAATTTTACACTGATATGCCCAGGGGGTTCTTCCCTGGGTCAACTGAATTTCTTAAAAGTGAAATATCAGTTTTTATTTCAAAAGGTTTATCCCACCAATGCCTCATATGTAAAAGAATGACAGATTTGTAAGTGATAAAACAGGAATATGGCTAGTATCAGATGTTAACATCAGATATGAACAATTTAACACAATTGAAATGTGCCTCCAGACCCTACCCAACACCACAGCATCACAAAATGCAGCATAAGTCATGTGCAGCCTACATAACAAAATGACCAATAAATGTATATAATGCTCTGGTTACAATGATATAGAAGTTAAATTAGAAAATAGTCTTAGACACTAATACATCTGAACATTGTATCCAAGGATTCAGAAATGTCTGCCATCCTAATTCCTAACTGTAGAGTGTCAGATTTCCTAGTTTCAGAGTTTTGATGCTACCAGAATGCCCTAACATTAGAATAAGAATGTTAAAGAGACACATTCTCCCTCTTGATGAACTAAAGTTAACTGGGCTTTTAGCTAATCATATGAAGACATACAGCAGTAAAAGGGCATCTAATCTTGGAAACACATACTAAGCCTTCTGCCTTTGCCCTCTATCCATCAGTGCCTTGGATCTCTCCTTGAGGTATGTTCCTAACAAACACATACCTGCTCAGAAAGCTGGAAATCATCTGGTATGAAGATGCAGTTGAAGGAAGAGGTAAGTATCAAGTGCTTCCTGAGCACTAGGCTCTAAACTGAGTTAACAGAGAGGCAAGGAGAAGACTGGCTTCTGCCATTATGAAGTTTAACTGGGCGGCTTCAGAATCAGAAGATACTCTGCCTCCTCATAGTGTATATTCAGAACCAACACCGCCCTTTAATAGTGAAAAAAAGTGAGTGATACACAGTAATATTATTTATTGCTACCTGTAATAGGTTGAATAGTATTCCCTCAAATTTTGTGTCTTCCTGAAACCTATGAATATGACCTTATTTAGGAACAGGGTCTTTGCAGGTACAATCAAGTTAAGATGAGGTCATACTGGATTATGGTGGGCCCTAATCTAAGAATCGGGAAATTTGGACACAGAAACACAGGGAGAACACTGTGTTGACAGAGGCAAAGGCCATGGTGAGGCACCTACATGCCCAGGAATATCAAGGATTGCTGGCCATCACTTGAAGTTAGGAGAGGGGCACGGAATAGATTCTTCCTCAGAAGGACAAACCTTATTCTGCCAATACCTTGATTTTGTCCTTCTAGCTTCCATAGCTATGAGAGAACACATTTCTGTTATTTTACGACATCAAGTTTGCAGTAACTTGTTTTGATAGCCCTAGAAAATTAATATACTACCCCAAATGGTATTGATATGATACTAATTACCTCCAACATAATTCTTTTTTTTTTTTTTTTTTTTTTTTTTTTTTTTTTGGAGACGGAGTTTCGCTCTTGTTACCCAGGCTGGAGTGCAATGGCGCGATCTCGGCTCACCGCAACCTCCGCCTCCTGGGTTCAGGCAATTCTCCTGCCTCAGCCTCCTGAGTAGCTGGGATTACAGGCACGCGCCACCGTGCCCAGCTAATTTTTTGTATTTTTTAGTAGAGACGGGGTTTCACCATGTTGACCAGGATGGTCTCGATCTCTTGACCTCGTGATCCACCCGCCTCGGCCTCCCAAAGTGCTGGGATTACAGGCTTGAGCCACCGCGCCCGGCCCACCTCCAACATAATTCTATACAATAAAAGACACTGGTGCTGGGATAACTAGATATCCATACTGAAAAGAATGAATCTTGGTATCTATCTCACACCGTCCACAAAAATAAATTCCAGATGGATCATAGATCTATCTGTAAAAGATAAAATAATAATTTTCAGAAAAGAAAACAAAATATCTAGGGGTAGGAAAAGATTTCATAAGCTAGATTACATTAAAATTTAAAGCTCATTTTAATAAAAAATCATTAAGACAGTAAAAAAAGCAAGATGGCATAGGAGAAGATATTTGCAAATATACATGACCAAAAAAAGATTCATAACTAGGATAGATAAAGAACTCTTATAGATCAATAAGCAAAAGGTAGGCATTTCATAAAATTACATCCAATGGTCAAATATATATCAAAAAGAAATTCACCTTCACATCAGTAGAAAAATGTAAATTAAAGTCAAAATTGCAATACCACTATGCACCTATCCACATGGCTAAAATAAAAAAAGATTCAGTATGAATGATAACTACCAGCAAAGAAATAGAGCACCCAGAATTCTCACACACTGCTGAGTGTAAATTGATACAACTTTGAAGAACTATTTGACAGTACAGTATTAAGTATGCATATGTTATGACTTAATAATCCCATTTCCAGACATATACCCCATAGAAATGCATAAAGACATTGATGAAAAACACCATAGCAGTGCTATTCATGATAGCTCCAAACTATAAACAACACAAATGTCTAACAACGGTAGCTGAACTGGTTAACTAATGGCCAATCTCTTTACTATACTAACACTAGAAAGTCAATATTGGATTCTAAGTTTGGCCTAAAGAGATGAGTAAGCTATTTGCATACTTCTTGGAAAGGCACATAAATATTGTTTTCCATTAACACTTTAGAGACAAAATATAACTCATAAGTTGACAATTTCACTTTTAGGAGAACAACTAGATGTTGGTTTGTCACTCGAAACCTGAAATGCATGGTCTCTAAGCTTTTCAAAAGAGAATGACAGGAAGAAAATTTTAATTTTTCTAACAAAAGGTATCCTGGAAAGACAACATTGCTAGGACACAAATTAATTTTAAAAATAGCAATATATCACAAAGATCAATCTTTGGAGTGAAATTAATCTGGGTTTGAATCTCGGCTTTCTCATTTACTAGGTAAGTGACTTTAAGGAAGCTATTCAGTCTCCTCATTTACTTAATGGGGGTTGAAACATCTACTTTGGCATTGTGATAGGATTAAATGAGGTAATCTACATTAAGTACTAGCATCGTGTGTAAAAGCACTCAAATGCATTTGTTTCTGGTGTGTTTCACTCATTTATTCCCTCAACATTTACTGAGTGTCACTACTGGCCAGGTCATGTTCCAGGCACTGGTTTTTATTAAGGCTGCTAGCTGAAAGCCTTATGAAACAGAAAATGATAAAAATCTTAAAAATTAGAAAAGACCTCAGAAATCATCTAACTTAAGCATCTCATTCATGGGTAGGGATGGAGTAACTCCTCTGGGGTCAGATCAGAAACTTTTCAGGGAAGAGAGCTTTTCAAGCTCCATATGGCCACTCTGCCCTGCATTCCCTCCCCTCACTGAGAATTATGCAGGTGATGTGGAAACTGATCACAGGAGATGCATAGTAAAACAATAATAGAGGCAGAAAGAAGGTTGTTTTAAGAAATGATTTAATCCAACCCCTTCCTTTTACCAGTGAGAATACCAAAACTCCAAAAGACCTATTCTAATTCTTGGTCTAATATCGCCTTCCTTTCCCTGAAAGCTGCTTTTTGCCTGGGTCCCTGGAAAATCTCACTAGTTTATAAAGCAAACTAAAAACAAATAATTTATCCCTCTCTTCTAAGCTTTTAGAGTCTCAGTCAACAGTTTAATATTGAAAGTATCTAAAATAACAACTGTTAAGATCAGGCAGTTGATATTAAGAAAGGTAAAATGGCCTCTGATACTAAGATTCCATCAGTGCTTTGCAAAGAAACATATCCACCATCATCATCATTTAGACAGTTATCAGCAAGAACTCTTAAGTGGAATATTCTCAATATAAACATAATTGTTATTTTATAATGACCACTAGAAAATTAATGGGGAGATCTACTTTGCAAAAGGGCCTATTTCAAGCATTTATCATGCAAAAATAAAACAGGATTTGAACAGAGAAATATTATTCTCATGTGATCTCATTTTGATAGAGGTGTCAAATATCTGTATTTTGATATTCAAACAAGACCATAGCATACTAAGCCTTTATCAGCTCTTCACAGTAAGCAACATCTTGATTTTAAGTAACAATTTCACAAGCAGCAAAGTAAAGAAAATGGAATTTAACTGGTTGCTTTTTCAGCCTATTACTGGCTGAAAATGGAACAGTGAATAACAACATTAAAGAAAAACAAGAAGCTGGCAAAGAGGCAGACTTACCACCAGTCTCGAGGCCAGATCCATGTGTCCCAGTTTTTCAAGGAGGTTATAGATTAGGCCTGTCTGAAACAGGGCTTCAGTGATGGGTGCAGTATGAGTCTCATTTCCAAGATAATTAATCAAATCAAAGGCCCTCTGGAGCGGCACCTTGCCTAGGCTAAAGGATAAAAGAACAGAAAAAGTAAATATGCAGAGACACACGGAAGAACTCTATGCATGCCAAGAGAAAAAGTTATGGTTAGATGATGAGTCTTGAAGACAAAACATTCAAGCTTACAGTGGCATTCTGTAAAGTTAAGCTAAATATGATTATCTCTGATTAAGTTCTTGTGGCCCAAGATTAAAGAAGCATTTCAAGAGAAAGATAAAGAATAGCTCTTTTTTTTTTTTAATTCCTAAGTCTCCTGTAAATTGCTACTGACTTAGCAAAAGTATAATATCTTGGGTTAGAAAAGATGAAAAGTATTAATTTTATTTATTAATTAGTTATATTTCTCAGGAAAGACAGTATAGCACAGAGAGTATCTGAATTTTTTTTAAAAAAATTTTTGTTGGTTGAATGTTGTTCAAACTTAAGACAAAGTCTATTGTGAATTTATGGTGAGTACATTTTAAAAATTAACCACTTTATAGAAATCACAGCTGTAATGGCTATGACAATGTAATAAGGGTACTTCATAAAAAATGAGACAAAATGGAAATGTCAAGGAAGGTCAGAAGGAATACTCTTCTGACCTAAAGTGTTCTGGTATTTCCAAGGCTTTCATCAATCTAACTTGGTAATATTCTATTCAGAGAACATCTTTACATGAGGTCACTGTCATCTTTGGCTTTGGGATTCTATAATTCATGAGGTGGTTGGGGAGGCAAGCAGTACAGATAAGGAGGCTCCAGCCATAAGAGATGTCCCTCAAAACCAACGGGTAAGCACTAAGCTTCATGCTTAAACCAACCCCTGCTTGAAAATAATTATCTTATGAAACAAAATAAAGCCTGAACTCCTGTATCAGTTTATTCAACAAAATATGTATCCTGCTTTTGGTATCTAGTCATGAATTATTATTAAATCCTGTTTTATTTAAAAGTTCAGTATGTTTGTAGCTAATGTTTTATAAAGTCCCTGGAGGCAAAGCACATATTTTCCCAATCCTCCAAAATGAATTGTACCAATACACGCTAGTTCTTTCAAACTGTTTTTCATATATGTTCTTTACCTCAATAACACTTGTTTAAAAAAAGAAAAAACTCAAACTAAGTATACTGTACCCTGCAAGTTCAAAGATGTTGTTGATAAGGTTCGCTCGGTCTTTGTCACTCAGAACATGAGGATTTCTTTGCAATTGTTTGATTAGTGCTTCCCAATCATCATCTGCGTAGTGTACAATATAATAACCATTCATGTTTATATTGACTTTGACCCATCCCACTTCTTCTGTAAGATTGATGACACCTAATGGAAATAAAAAAAATGTGAGACTGAGAGAGAAGACAATCAGGCCAGAAAAAAAAAAAATCACACTAGTGCTTTGTTTGTTTCAAAGTTAATATACTTTAACATTTAATCATTCTAGTAAGAAAAAAAATGCTTGTCTCCAAGTACAGTTATTTTCATGTTAGTGAAGATCAGAACATTCATTCAGCAATTATTTATTTATTGTGTATTATTGGTTCTAAACCAGGTTCTGGAAATCAAATGGTGAACAAGGTAGATATGTCTCTGCTTTTAGGGATCTCACTGTCTAAAGTAACCAGGCAAGTACAGTATCATACAAGCGCTATTGACAGAAAAAGAAAAGACAACATTCAACTAAAGCACAGAGGAAAAATGCTTCACTCTCCTAGGGAAAGTTAGGAGCAATTTCTTGCAAGAAATGGCATGTAAGTTGTCATTCTTCTAAGAGACCTCAGAATAGATAGGTGTTGGCCAAGTGAAGAAAGTATAGTAGGGAACCCAAGTGCTCAAGGCCCAGAGAGAAAGTATACATGGTATCCATGCACGGAACTGGCTTCCGAGTTCATTATGGATGGAGGAGAGAGGGAGAAAGTAAAGGTGCAGGATGAGGCAGCAGGGGAAGACAGTGAGAGAACTGTGTAAAATGTGTTCCATTTCAGCCTCTGTCTTTTGTCATGTTAGCAAAGGAAGAATAAACAAAGCCATTTAGAAAAGTCACATGATTTAAAGCTAGCAAAATAAACAACAGGGAAGGCTTAAGATCACCTTAGGGACAAATAAGAAATAATAGGGTTAAAATAATAGGAAAGGATGTGCATTTTTTGGGTTTCTACCATAAATGCTGAGAGAATTGTTAGAAATTTCTATGGAATTATGTCAATAATGTACCAATAATGAAGTGTTAAGAGCTAAATGACCACAAATATATGCATACCTTTTTAAAATCCTTAAAACTGCTAATGAAGAAATGTCCTTTAAAGCTGGCAACAAGGATGTAGACTTAATTATAATAGGGATATGCTTCTAAGCATCTTGAGGTTTACCTTTTACTAGAATATAAGCTACATAAACTTACTATTTCATTTACTGTTAATGCCTCAGCCCCTAGAACAACATACCTAGGAGGTATTCAACAAATACCATTTAATTACTGAGTAAAGGAATAAACAATGACTATGTCACAATAAATAGTTTAAATCCAGTCTAGATAAAAGTTTGTGGATATTTATTATGTAATTTTTTTACCCCCTTTTAAAGTAACAAATACTTAAAACAATTTTAATTATAAGAAAAAGAAGAACAGAGATAAAAAGAATAATCTAAACTCAGACAATGATAGCATTTTGGAATGTACTTCTTGCCAAGTTTTTTCTTATACTTGTTTTTAATATTTTATACAGCATATCTATATGCATTTATTTTATCCTTTTTCACCTATCAGACCCCCCCTCACATTTTTGCATTGTCTTTATAAGCAGTGTTCAAATATCTTCATAATATTCCATTTCAAGTTTAACCAATCTCCTATTTTTAAAAATTTAGGCTGTTTTAAAATGTTCACTATCATTATAATTCTGTAGTGAAACTTTTGTATATAAAATGCTTTATTAACATGTTTTCAGCCTAAAGAGTATATACTAAAGATTATATTATTAGTACCTGAAGCCTTAGGGTTTATCAACTTCAAAAACATGAATTACTCAAGTATGTCAGATGCCCTTAATATCTTTGTTATTTGTATTATACTGATACTGCTAAAGATTTTTAAGATGACAGATATTCTGATCATGTCTTAACAAGCTAACCAGTCTTTTTTACTAAAACAATTCCATACTTATTTCTGTTACATTGCTGATATAGCAACAAATGGGAAAGATCAAGTAAATAAGGTTTATTCCTTTTTCGAGGGCAGAATGCAGTTTTAAGGAATACTTGTGATGGCAACAGTGGCTGCTCCAAGTTGGAGCCATTTTTAGCAAACCTATGACTAAGAAAATAACCTTTATTATTGGCTAATAATATCAACACTCTTCAGGCCACCAAACACTATATCCTAAGGAGCTTTTATCAAGAAAGAACCCCCGAGTGGGGCATGGTGACTTACACCTGTAATCTCAGCACTCTGAGAGGCCACGGCAGGAGGATCACTTGAGCCTAGGAGTTTGAGACCAGCCTGGACAACATAGTGAGCCATCATCTTTACAAAAAAATGAAAATTAGTCAGGTATGATGACACGTATCTGTAGTCCCAGCTACTCAGGAGGCTGAGGCAGGAGTATCGCTTGAGGTCAAGTATCACTAGGTCAAGGCTGCATTGAGCTTTGATGGTGCCACTGTACCTTAACCTGGGTGATAGGGCAAGACCCTGTCTCTAATAAAAACAAAGGTAAAGAAAAGAAACAAAGAACCCCAGGAAGAAAGGCTACAGAGACCAAAATCTCCCTTGCCCATAAAAGGAGACAAGGAATGCTAGCTATGGCAGTTGTTCCACTAGATGGATAGAGAAAACACTGAAATACATACAGAGTATCTTGGTTGATAAGCAACTTGCCATGTTGTAAACTTAGGCAAGTCCAGAGTAGAGAGGAGGGACACGGCTGGGAATATACTGGAAATTATTACTGTCATTGAGATGACACAAAATAAAGTAGTACAGCCAACAGCACAAAGACAGAGTTACCATTTAAAGAATCAACATATTAGTCTCTCTCAGGTCTTCTGAATGATCAGAATCGTGGACCTTAAAACCACAGGTATCGAAAAATAATAGCTTTGCACACAAGGGAAGTAACTACATCTTGCAGTTCAAATGTGGATGAGGCTACCCTCATATGTTTTTAATTTACTATAATCATTAACAGATTAACAGTTCAATTTTCAGTCTATTGAGTAGCAAAAAAGAGTAAGCAACTGCAATATTAAGTGGCAGAAGCCCAGATGAAGTAATCTAACAGTGATTTTTAAAAACCATTTGTCAATGAGCTATGAAAATCAACTACTGTTTTACAAAAAAATTAAAGTTCTGAAACTAAAAAACATGCTTTTACTACAAAGTTACAAAATTTCCTATAGAGTTTGCTCTGGAGGGCTGGCATAATACATGCTATTGAACTGTATCACTCCTTGTTCAAAAGCATTCCCTTCTCTAATACCCCTTTCTCCTTTATTAGGAGAAAAAAAGGCAAGAGCAGAAAACGGACATAATAAATATTTTAATTACTATATGCCCTTCCTTCTTTCATCCTAATTGCCTTTTCTTCCAATGATATATCTTTTACTTTCACAGCAGTATTTCTGATAGTGACATCCATTTGGAAACATGAATGTTGTGCATTTGATTTAATATGAAAATCTCCTATAGTTAAAGATCTTAGGTCTGAGTAAAATGTGGTTAAGAAAGAGAGAGAGGAAGCGAAGAAGAAAGGGAAGAGGAAAACTTTTTAAAATACAATTTCCTAATATGTAGACTGGAAAAATGGCCCCATCAGCTGTTGTTATGCACAATAAATATTAACTGTTCAAAATTCATGTGAGACAAGGA